AAACAATAAAAGATTATAGAAGACTTCAAAGGGAGCGTAATCTGAAGAGGTAAAGAATGTGCAAACATCTGAATGTTTTGTAAGGAGAGCAAGGAAGACCTGACTTAGTCACAGAAACTCAGGTAGGAAGCATGTTAGGGAGCTGGGGCAGCACTGAGTACTTGGACTCAGAATGGTGCAGAAGTGGACCGCTGTGGAGGACTAAGAGATGAAAGCAACAGAATTCGACTAGATAGAAGAAGGGTAGGGTAATCCCTCTGGTTCTCGGCTCCTTCTTTATACCTTTGACTAGACATGAATGGAACAGCAACTAGGTCTACATAACGGGAATATGATGGCGCCACATGAAAAGCCAATGAACAGACAGGGATTGAACCTGTACATTATGCTTTCGTCAGTGCCAGTGACCTGAGAAGGCAGCAGATCAGTATTGCGGTGACAGCTGGACTTGTGGCTTTCTTTAAACAGCAGATTACGTAGGGAAGGAAGAGCTTGAGAAACAAGGAGGTGAGAAACTGCAGTCTCATCCCGTGGTCGTGTGGCCAGTATTGGAGATCCACAGCATTGCTTGGAGCTTCTCTCCTCTGTCTCCTGCGTGGTCCCTCTTGTGCTTTTTCCCTCGTTAGCAGCTCCGTCCACTTGGGTTTGTATTCTCTTGAGACCTCGCGTTCCGTCCTGGTTAGACAGTAACTCACACTGAAGCAATCCATTAGCAGTGTGTAGGCGCTGAGATATTTATAATCTGCATAAACAGGTATCTTTCCACAGTACGAAGCACAGGTGTGACCTCATAAGAGAAAACTCTCTAGCCTTTATCTTGTCTGCCTCCTCTCGTCAGTGTTTGTGGAACTTGACAAGCTTGGTTCAGGTAGTTGGATTTTGGAGTGCGTGAAATGTTGAAATGGAGGCTTTAAAAATAGACTTGAAGGTACAAATCTGAAGGAAGGAGCTATGAAAGAAATCACCTGGGAAGAGCACCTGTGACTGCGTTTCTACACAAGGACAGAGCTCAGAAGCAGAATGGAGTCTCACACAGGACAGCCTTTCAACCCTTGGTGGTGGGTACAGGATCATTAGGGGAGCATTGGGAGACACACTGGGGGACACAGGCAGTATGAGGGGAGAAAGGCCTTCTCTTCAAAAACCTGGCTAGAAGCTTAAAGTGGAGGAGCAGGGGAGACAGCCTCCAGGTACAGCACAACTGAGCTCCTGAAAAGAGACTTCAGTTGCCCCCAGCAAACCCAAGAACAAGAGAATTCCTTACTTCTGTCAGGTTTTCCCAGGGTGGGGTGAGAGAAAGTTCCACCCCACCTAAGTTAGTCTGGACTAGTCTGAATGCTAAAGGGGCAATCAAAGAAAGCAGGTACTTGTAGGACCATAGACCTACCCTAGAGTTGCAGTTAGGAGGGGAGGGGGTGCCGGCTTATACCCGTTTGCAGTGACTGTGTGCCCTAACCTTCACAGTCAGGGCTGTTGGGTTTTGTTTTGTTTTGTTTTTAGGAACCATGTACAGAAACCAGGGCCTGGCCTGATTCCTTACAATCCACTGCATCTGGTCTCTTAGAGTATCTTCAAGCTGTAGTGTCTTTATCAAGCAGTAATGAAGTTTGCTCCTCTGTGATTCTTGCACAGAGGAAGGTGCCTTGAAGTAAGCTGATACTTACCAATCAGAGAAAGTGACCGAAATGTCCAGCCTACACCTGGTATCAACTTTCTTCTGCCTAGGAGCCAAAGAGTTTTTGATCTTTAGATCAATGAAAAGTGTCAAAGGAACTCTGGATTTGGGTAGGGAAACGAGCCCGGTGTGTTTGTACACCCGCATGGAAAGTGCTGTGTGGGTGTGGACTGCCTTTCCCACTTGCTTTTCTCCCTTCTCTTTTCCCACGCTATAAATCCTCAAAGCCTGCTTGGGGTCTTGCTGACAGTCTGCTCCCCCAGAGTGAATTGGTGGCACTTAGCAGGCATGGAATGCCATAACACACTCTCCCCTCCTCCTTGGTGATAATTCCCCACCTTGCCTTCTGGGACCATCATTTCTTCTCTTAAGGAAGAAGGGAGAGCAAAGAGCAGACCCCCTTTCTAGAGAACAGCTAACCAGGGACCTGGCTTAGTGACTCTCCAAACCTCGCTGCTGCTGGGGGAAAGCTATCTGCCACCCACCCCACCCTCATGCCCTAGGTCAGGTACTGGGCTTGTGGCAACAGCTCCAACTTCTAACCTTGGAGCACTGTACACAAGTGATTCATTTCCAGCCTTCTGCTTTCCTTCCAGGAGTCAGCTGTCATGGGCCAGGCCCAACTGTGACTCACTCACACGCCTTTGCCTGGGGGAAATGAACACTTCAGAGATTTCTGTGTTCCAGGCCCCTCCTAAGCCAACACTCACACTGCCTCCAGGATGATACAGCACAGAGGCATCCTGCTCGAGCCCATGTGTTGCTCCACCAGGCCAGCAGGAGAACTAAGATAGAGTATGGTCTGCGTGGCTCTGATCGCACATAAGCAAATTTAAGCCACTGTAGCAAAACATCCGAAAGCTAAGGGGTGTTTGGGATACCGTGGTTCTGACTGAAAGATGAACACTCTCTGCAGCTGCCCCTGCCTCTATCATGCTCTTGGAAGAGATGTGGGTTTCCAGGACCTCGGGAACTGTTCCTGAAGTTTCCACACTCTTTGATCTGCCTACTGAAAAGTCTCACAACCAACACTTAGCATTCTTTTGTTCTTCTTCTTCTTCTTCTTCTTCTTCTTCTTCTTCTTCTTCTTCTT